TTTTTTTTTTTTTACATTTAATAAAGTATAATCGCCTCGACAGGGGCAAATAACAATAATAAAATAAATAGGTTCTCTGTGCCAGCGTTGATTTTATTAGTAATTCTTTTTTCCCAGCTCTAGTCGCTCAGTTTGCCTGTTGTTAAAAAGAACGATGAATCCGGAGTTTCAGAATATAAAACCAGCAGATGAAGCTGGTGTGTGATGTTCAAACGTGGAGAGCACCGTGTAACTGAGGCGTCAGTAAAATAAATGCTCAGCACAGTGACACATCAGTGCAGTGAGCTCTCAGCAGAGTGGCGCTTCCGGAGTGTAAATCAGTCAGCATTTGTCGCCACCTAGTGGCTGCTCTCATTGTTGTAACTCACTCCAGAGAATGGCTCAAGTCTCTCTTGGACATAAAAACAAATCACAGCTCTTGCTGCTGCTAGAGGGCGTACAGACACCTGCAGCAGGAGGTGACTGCACTCTTTAAATGTATCCTTGCAACAACATATCTGATAAGGACAATAATTATGGCTTTGGATTAAATGTGTTCATTTTACAAAGCAAACATCTCGATTTTTAATTTTTGCATGAAAGCAACCCTGTTAAATTCACATTACATGTAAATACTGCAACAGCAGTATACCACAATTAAAGGGTTGAGAGCATGGCATCTTTTGTATTTTTTGTTAATAATTTCAGCATTTTAAAAATTAAAATACAAAACAAACACACATTTTGTCTCCAGCTTCCAGTATGTTTGGACTCTTAGTGTTTTAGAAACCTTATTCAGACCTTTTCACCTGTCTGCCTGTCTGAGTAGTTTTATTTCTCAGCTTCGCTCATATTCTTTTCTTTACATGTTCTCTTTTTAGTTTATGTGTTTAGGATATTATAGCACGGATTTATAGTGTCACATAACCTTTTAGTGTTTAATGGGATTTGTTGTTTCCTGTTGTATAAAGCTACATAATCACAGGAACTTGTTGTCATGTGCAAGGAAAGATAATTTTAGCCCCTGAGTGTCCTCATTAAACTGCACTGTTGATGCAAGCTGCAATTAAATCGTTGTTTGGTCAACAAGACACCAATCTGCAACAGGATTAACAAGGATTTAGAAACATTCTTCTCTTCCACATCCATTTCTTTGTCTCGTCTAATTTTAAATCGAATAATTTTGCACCACAGTTGGTTTAATTAACTGTAAAGCAAACAAAAGACGTGTTTTATTGTACTGTGCGATTTTAAAAATGAAACAAACTATTTAATCAGTATTCTTGTGGTTAATTTGCACTATTTAAAGTTATAACAAGAGCAAAACACACACAAGTTTGGTATCTTAACACTGGCTCACAGTGTTTTTAGATTCATTGTCTCACTTTTAACAAGCCAGTACATTTAGCACATTGTTGCTCCTAATAATAACTTCATTATTGATTGATTTGCTAGTTAAACAGCAGTGATAAGTGGCTTGTTTTGCCCACTCTGGTTTCTGGACGGTTTCCGGGTTAAAAATTAAGTTTAAAATAAATAATTAATAAGCTAGTGCCGCCCAATTTAGGGACCTGACTCACACCAGGTGTCTTGAAAGATGATTACAGGTTAGTATTAAATGACTAAAAGCTAAATTCTTTAGAGAAATGTATCTAAAGCTACAATTTTACCTGATTAAAAGTAAAAGTAAGTTTCTCATGGACACAGACGTGCGTCAACCTCGTTATGGAGGTTGTGGGAACGGCTGCATTAGGTTCCTTTAATCTATGTTTTGATGGTCTTCTGTCAGTGTCTGTATTGCTAATCCCGGCAGTATGGAAAGGTGTTGATGTGTTGTGTATTTGTATAGCTGTCACTATTAATTAACCATACTCACTTATTTTACAAAGCCAATGTCGAGACTCTGAATAAAACCAATAATGTGACATCTTTGTGTACTATAAGTTTTACATTTTGTAACATTTAACCAAATGGGGAATCAAGGAACTCATTAAAATCCCAATAATATCCATGCTCATGATAAGTGGATGTAAACCTCTGATTACAACTGTAGCATTGCTCTTATTTTTTTATTCAGGTTTTATTCAGGTTTTTAAATGTTAACGTTATACTTAAGTTGTCAGAGATTAATAAAAAGCTGTCAGATAATACAAATATACAGCGTCCCTAAAAGAACATGAGGTGTGGCGTGAAAGTGAAATTCCTTTTTTATTCAGACATTGAGACGCAAGTAAAACTTTAAATTCAATTTTGCATAATAATTTTGCATAATAAGCAGTTAAAGTCTGTCTATTCTAATGAAAGCTAAAATGTGCACAGAAAATTACCATATACGTACAGAGATGTGATTATTCTTTTACAAAACCAGCTATGTAAGTCAGGCTATAAGATACATATATTTTTGAATACAAAAAAATAGGTTTTCGTGTAAATTTCGCAGATAAAAGGTTAATAATTGCGTTTAACGTCCAAAGTTTGAAGCGGTAAAGTGAATAATTTCACTTCCCTGTAATTTGAGAGCACTCTAGTCTGTTTATGTACCTGTCACTACCTCATGTGGACTTTACTTTGAAAATTGCAGCTCGGAACGTTTGATGTGACTTTAATTTTGAATTGAAGCCAGCACGAAAAAGAAAAAAAGAAAGAAAAAAAAGCTGACGCGTGGATTTCAGCTTCACTCCCACCCGGACGAGTGTGAAAATTAATGTTTCATTAAAATATTAACCAGGTCGTTCGCTTTATTTTGAAATCTCCTGCACAAGATCTCATTTCCTGCTGTTCAGCTCAGGTTGTTCGGGCAAACCTGGTCACGTGGTAGAAAGTGGCAAGAGGACGGGATCATTTATCAAAGTTTAAGGTTATATGTGTGACTTTGTCCTCAGGGAGATTCCCCTTCCTCCTCCTCCTCCTCTTTACCTGCACGATAAGTCAACACCTTCAGTCGTGGAGAGGATGTCCAACCTGCCGGATATTCCTGCTCCGCGTAAATTCCACTGGATCCAAGAAGGAAGCGAGGACACGTTTAGCGGCTTGGAGTTCAGAAGTTTAGTTCTGGTTTCGTCCGATGAGAAGATTTCAAAGTGTTAAAGACACAAAGAAGAAACATGTTTTCCTTCCTGCGCTCAGGTGAGTTTTCCCTTTGGATTGTTTCCTCGTGCAGCACAGGTGATGATGCCTGGAGATCTACACAGACACAAATTATAGGATATTATAGTGACAGATTTATCGTGTCACAGAGTTCATATTAACCTTGTCGTTTTTATTGGGTTTATCGTTTCCTGTTGTATAAAGTTACACTATCACAGGAACTTGTTATAACGAGCAGGGCAGGTAATTATACCCCCTTAACTGCCCTCATTAAATTTACAGTATTGATGCGAGCTGCAGTTAAATCAGTAAAGTAACCCGTGTGTTATATTATAAAATTCTAAATGACTCTATAATAAAAGTAATTGTCCATCTGTGGAAGTTTAATTGTACCAATATTATTTAGAAATGTGTGATGAGCGCTGTAAACAGAAAATATGTGCGTAAAATACTGATACTTATAAATGTGTGATTACAGGCTTCTTTTCTGATGTGATTTCAAATAAAATGCTTAATCATTTAAAAAGCATGCTGTTATGAATAAAAACTGTAACTATTGAGCTGAATGAGCAACAAAAGCAATGTAACATTATTTTTGGGGGGCTCAGGCTTTTATTAGAGGTACACGGTGGGTGTCTGCATCTGTTAGCCTGTAAGACTGGAAAGTGTCTGATTGAGAGAAGCTTCATTTTTCAGCATGACAGTGATCCCAAACACACTGTCAGTGCAGTAAAGTCATACCTGCACAGAAAAGTATACAGTGGAAGTCTATCAGTCATGGATTGGCCTCCCCAGAGCCTGGCCCCCGACATTATAGAAGCATTATAGGGACATCTGGACAGAGGACAGAAGAAAAAATGAGCCAACACCCAAAGTAGAGCTTCGAAAGTCCTTCCAGAGGCCTGGAGAACTAACCCCGAAGACTGGTCACACCAAATATCGACTTTCAAGCTCGTTATAATTGTACAAACTCTGTTTTTATCTTATATTGCACATGTTTCAATAAATCTTTGCACCTTTTTCACATTTTGCAAGCAAAATTTAAAAACTGAGGCGTGACTCAAGACGTTTGCACAGCACCGCACATGTCTTTTGAAGTATTAGAATACATACACATATGAGAGAACTGAGTGGAGCCCTGACTACACATTTGTACATAGTTTCTCATAGTTTTCTGTGTGTGAAGGATTTGATTCTGTGTATGTACTCTGATTACATAAATCACTTTAATCCCAGTATAATTACCTGTTTGCTTCCAGGCAGAAACCCCGCTCCTGAGCAGATCCACATTACCTCGCTACCTCCCAGTATTCCCACAGACCAGGAGCCAGAGCAAGCTGAAGGACAAGGTGAGGATGTTTATCCTGTACACAGCGTTTTTTTTAAGGACTCATCACATTTTTATGAAATACATGAAACCTTTCAGCCAGACTCACTCAGCGACATGGAGCGCTACAGGAAGCCGTTACAGCGTCGTGACAACAAAACACAAATCTGCTCCGTGTCGGGGGAAGTGAAGCATCAGCTCCTCTTTTCCCCTAAAAGCAGAACAAACTGTTGACTTTTATCGTATTATTAATTCATCTCTGTTCAACCAAGACTCAAACTTTGCTTTCCCTTTCCAGGCGTTAACAGCTTGCCTCCAAATAGATTTCTCAACAAATTTGTGTACAAGAGAATTAATTTGAGTCCTCTGATTTTTTTTATTTTGCATCTTTTTTCAATTAAAATATGGAGACCATTAAATTACTAGCTTGCAGTATTTCTGTCTCCTTTTGGAGTCTCATTTCACAGCTGACCAGGGTTATGGTGGTGCATCTTCCAAAGACATGCATCTTAGGTTACCTGATTCTAAATTGGACGTAGGTGTAACTGATGGTTGTCTCTGTGCTGTGGAAACCTCTCCTAGATATACCTTCCCTCTTCCGTATGAGATCTGGGATAGGCTCAAACACTCCTGAATAAGCTTAGGAAAAAGGGATGGATGCCTGTATTAGACCAGTGATTCCCATAGACTGTATATAAAGATGGACATAGCCACTGTGACAGTGGTTAGTGGTTCCTGTTATGAAGCACGGAGCTTAACATGTCTGTCGTCTGTCATATTTTGAAAAAAGGCGTAACAAGCAAGGGCGGGGTGGATCTGACAGCCTGACAGGTTTATCCTCCTTCCTGACTTGAAGAGTGGCCACATATTTTCTAAATACCTTTTAAACAAACAACTGAACACATAAAGTCACCAGTAAAGTATTTACTGAGGCCTGTTTTCCCCACAGGCGTCTATACAACTTAAAGGCTTTTTGCACCCTGCTGGACAAAAGAATACATGTTTAAGGTGCCTTCAGATTAGCTTTTTACCCTTTTTTTTGAACTTTATCTTCAATACTTTGCACACACTCAGTCCCCAGTCCTTCGTGCTGCTCTGAGATGGTGGGAATTATAAGACTGTACCAAATCAACAACCCCGACTGACAGCAGGAAGGAAATATGATCACTTTTTTCCTGTGGCACAGACCGCAACTAAACACTGGTGCAGACGACCGTCCACCTAAAGAAGAGAGGGAGTTGGTACAGACCAAAGTGACAGCTCCCTGTCTTCTGGCTCCAGCTGGACTGAGGATGTCAACAGCCTTCAGCTCAAGTGTGTCACCTGCCTGGAAAAGCTGGGTAAAGTTAGCACGATCCCAGGCTAAAGAGACAAACTGCAAACCAAATGTGTGTTCTGAGAGACACCTGGTCTGCTCAGTGTCTCGTGAGGCCATGAAGGCAGGACGTACACCGGTTGAGTGGGGACACTTGTCAGATGTCAGGCTAGATCTGTCAGCGCAGAGGTGTGCGCACTTTAAAGACGTGCTGAATTATGCTAAATATATGCTAGACATAGTAGAGAATAACCGCTCCTTGTTTTAAAAACAAGAGTTGAAAACTTCTGTTTTCTTTACAATTGGAGAAAATTTGTTACAGTTTATAACTAAAAGTTTGTTTGCAAACTCAAGTGGAGCATCCACAGTTGAAGTAGACTTAAATCATATATGATGGTCTATGGACCAGTTCTGGCCCTGGGGCAGTTTTTCGCCCATGATCTCCATGTTAAAAGAAGAAGAAGAAGGCCGTGAACCGAGGATATATCAGCAGACGTACGTTTTTTTATTTGTTTTTGTAAAGGTGTGCCTTGAAATTTTGGCTTGCCCTTTGGTGTGCCCTGGGCAAGAACATTTTGAGAAAACTGCTGGATTGAAAGTCTTTAAAAAGTACAAAACAATAAAGAAGACGTTGCGATGTGATCAAGAGCTCCTGAGCGGTGATTGTTGGTCACCTGCTGATTGAAGGTAAAGAGAGAAAAACCTGAATCTGAGTGTTTCTTCTGCTTGACTCAGAGAAGTTCCCCAGGCCGTGAAACGCTGCACTGCATTTGTAGTTAATGCACTTCTCAAAGGGCATTTCCACTCATGAACATATTTTGGCTGTTGCTTATTTTGGGCTGGACAGTATTGCTTAAAATGCCATCAGGATAGATGTCTAAATATCATTCAATATAAATATTTACAATGATAAATGTCAGCATGTTGTTGATTTTTTTCCTGGCAGTTTCCTGCCGAGGATTAGGCTGATGCTGGTCGACTCATGGGGATCGGTAATGTTCCACTCGCTGCTGTTACAGGATGTGAAATAGTCTCAGTTTATGCTGTTCTGATGTTTGTCACATTGGAAAAAGCCCCGAAAAACCTCTCCTGAAGTTCTTATGAATTATAAGCTCAAAATTGATCAGCTCTTTGCTGAATATTTGAGTTTTTGTTCTTATTTTATTTATTTTAAATTATGATAATGATTTTATAACTTTTCTCTTGGATGTTTGAGCTTCACTGTGTACAAGGATTCAGGCAGAAAACTCAGGATCTTCTGCTGAAAGCTTTTCTGAGCTCAAACAAAATTTTACTTTAAGCTGCAAAGCTGTGAGCAGGATTTATGTCATGGCTGGTCTTGGAAGTCACTCCTGGTCCAACGGGCAACTTAAACTGGGTTAATGTGTTTTAGAAGCATTAAGACACTTTAACTTTACACGATGTTCTTGATATGAAGAAGAACAAGTTCTGAATGTATTCGTGCTCAGCCATAATTGCAGCTCGTCTGCTCAGATAAGACTGATGCAGCTCATGTTCTTGATAGCAGAGACATTGCTGGCTCAGATTAAGAGACTAAAACAGGAGAAACCTGCTGTAAACAAAAGCCTTCACATGACCTGGACCCCTGAAGGCTTCAAAAAACAGGAGGAGCAGGGAGGAGGCATAACCCATCATGTGTTCTGGCTGAAAAGTGAAAAGGCGGAAAGTCATTTTGCTAGAAAGTTGAAAATAGTTCTACAAAAAAAAAGGCAGCAGACTAAGAAGTAAATGTCAGAACGGATTATTTTATCACGGGTTTTATCATTTTTATTGCTTAATTGATGAAAGGATGTTATTAAACAACTAGAAAGCCCAGGGTGGATATCCAGCAGACGGTGACGTGTCCAACATCAGTTAAAGTTGGATTTTCAACCAAGACCAGACATTTAGAAAAGACAGTCAGTTAGCCATATTTTTTAATATTAAAAACTTCTTTACACCACTGCGTTCTCTCTACATGTGAAGCATTGTCTCATGGAGTGTTGCATGATGAGCTTATTTGTTTAAGCCTCTAAACCTACTGTTTCCACCTGCTAAGTCAACACAGTGATGCACTGTAACTCTGACGCCTCTGAGCAAGAGATGCCCGTCCTTAAAGTTTGGAGAAGTGTGGCACTTTCCAAGCAGATTTAGACACACGTAATTTATTCTTTGTCTTTTTGTTGACCTTAAAACCTTTTAACCATAACTTGATGTTGTCTAATAAAATATTCTTCAACAAGTTTTCGCTGTTTGGGATGAGCTGTGTGGAGATCTGCACGCGGACAGTGGAAACGTAGACCTGAGCCTAAACTAAAGACTCTAATGTTGACTTTCCAGCTCATAAAGTCATGTTTTTAAAGGATTTTAAATAAGTGTTTGCTGGGTGTGAAATTACTGTTTAAAGCAGAGTATTTTTTATTGTATCTTCAGTTATGTGTTTGGGGCCCTGTAATCTCAGCAGACACATGGTTATAGTTAATAGATGTTTGGATGGACGATAGACTTTATCTGTTTAAAGGATAGGATTTACAGAAAACACAGAGGAAACAGAATAAAAGAAAGGAGACAAAACACACATCTGACTGAACGTGGCAGCATTATTACCTGCACCTCTGACAGCAGTTAAACTTTGGTTTATATGAAAGTTTAAAACAAAACTGCATTCTCAACAAGCTAAAAGATAAACGTGGAACTAGGGCTGTTCGACATAACGATATATATCGATGACGATATAAAAACATCTATCGTTTCATTTTACGCTATCGTTTGTTTCGTGGTGTCGCAAAATAAACTGTTTGCGGCAATATTTTTTTCATCGTTCTGATGGTCACTGTAGTGGCTATATTAATTTCTTAAAGTTCTTTCTTTCTCTTATATTTAATATAACCACACTACTGACGGACAAGCGCCTTTTTTTTATGCCTTGTCGTTAGCAACACCGATGGTAACACCTTCGCGTGTCCGCTTGTTTATGTTCCACATAAACCTTTCACAATAAAGCTCAAGATCCTGTTGAGACCTTTCAAAATAAACTGAATCACGTGAAAGAGCAGATTATTTATGGATGAGAATTTAAAAAAAGAGCCTCCAGGTGCTAAAAAATAAACTTTAGACTCAAACGTTAGAACAGGCTTTTCCGCAAGTCGAGCTGCCCGAGATTCACAGAATTTACGGAAAATTTAAAAATTTTGTGATTTATATCGTTATCGGGACGATAGAATTCTTATATCGGGATATGAGATTTTGGTCATATCGCACAGCCCTACCTGGAACACATTATGTTATTTCGCATTTTTATGTATATATCAGTTGTTTTCCTACCCGTCTCCCCGCCTAACATGCTGTTTGTGTGTTGTTGACCTGTGTAAAGTTCACTTTTCTACTTTCTTACGATGCTTTTGTCATTATGTTGGTGTTAAATTTCAGTGGATGACGTGGTTGAAGAGAAAGGGGTGATCCAGACCACATACACTCACAGAGTACACTCCACACCCTCGGTCTTCCTCCAGAATCACAATGATGAGCCTGTTTCCAGCACTTACTTTGATGAGAAAGTCCCTGTCCCTGAGGAGGACGGCGAGGTAAATCAACCCTGGATTACATATGCAAACCTGAGTTAAATCAAGATTTGATGTTATTAGTGGTGCAACTTTTGTTTCCCCCTGCCACAGAGGTGGATAAGTCTCCGCAAGCTCTGGGCCTTCACCGGCCCGGGGTTTCTGATGAGCATAGCCTACCTGGATCCAGGTAACATCGAGTCTGACCTGCAGTCAGGTGCCAAAGCTGGCTTCAAGGTAACTGAGATCATGCTTTGTTTGTGTTTTGGTTGATTAAGAGTTAGCTTATGTCAGAGAAAGTTAAACTGAAGTCATTTTTATTTGCAATTATGAGAATTATTTGGTAATTAACTATTTTTCAACTATACTTCACAAATTATTTTGTACAAGCAGCACTTTAATGTCCCCAAATATCTAAGTTATAACAACACAGGACCAAGAAAGGCAACAAATTCAAAAAACGTTGATTACTTGGGTACTAAAATTAAAAAGAAATGCAGCCTTAGTTTAAAAAACAAAGTTAAACATATCTAATATTTACAGTGGGAACCTTTTGTTTTAAAATATCTGCTCATTTTAATTTTTTTGCCGGCAGCAAACTTCAATAAAGTTGAGACAGGGGCTGCTTCACCTCTTCTTCACACTCTGTTAGTGTTATTGAAAGCATGAGTTTCTATCATTTTGAAATAAAAAATATCTTCCTGTTCTTGCTTGAGGTAAAATTTGATTTGCTCAACAGTTTCTGGCCTTGTTTATTGTTTAGTCTTTTACTGTCCTCCAAATGTTTTCAGTGGGTAACAGGTCTGAGTGAGTGTACTGCAAATACAGACTGATGGGTCGCACGTCTTGCTTTTTTAAACCTGGCTATGTCACCATGGTAACCTATGCTGAACACATCAACTGGTCCAGAGCAGGTTACGTTCGGATTTCGGTTTAAATTTGTCTGAAAGTGCCACATTCACTAATTCTTTTCTCTAAATTTCTTTTTAACATTTAATCTGTTGAGAAGTACCTCACAAAGTTATACCAGCACCAACTGTGCGTCACATGTATGGATGAGGAATGTGCATAAATATGATTTTCAGCTTGGTCCTAATCAGATGCCCAGTGTTGGAGTTGTAGCAAACACAACATGCGTTAGATTAAAAAAGAATCACTGTGTTTGTAGGCTGTTTATCACCAAGCTGATTTAGTCAATGAAATTCACTCCACACTCATCCGACAACTAAACCAAAGTGGTTTTCTCCATCATCGCGCTTTGGGCCAAGTCAGATTTAAAATTTCTAACTTTGCAGCTGTCGTGTTAGAAATAAACAGCAGCACTGCAGTGAAAGCTTGAGTATTCACAATATTAGTTGCAGATTTATTTGCAGAACAGACAAAGCCTTTACCTAAATCATCATGTGTTGCTCTGCAACCTGTAGATACCTTTCAGCATTAATGGTTCCTCTGGTTATGTCATTTGTTGTTTTGCATTTCAGCAATATTTCTTGAAAGACAAGTCCGACTTTGAAATTCACCAGTCCCACAGCACTGCAGGTCAAAGTTTAACAAAAGTGTCCTTTGCCCTTAAACAGGTGGAAACATTCCTGAACTTGGGAGTCGCATCATTTAAACTGAGTGAATGTTTACTGAGACTGGTGTAAGAGTGACCGGGCCCTAAGCCTTAATCCTGACCGTCAGTCTGGAGGTATGCAGGGCTTTTAAAGGTTGTGAGCCTCAGCCAATCACAGCGACAAGGCTGCAGCACAGTCACAGAAAAGCAGTGCTCAAGAGTCTCGTAGCGGCTCAGTAATGTGAGGATTAATTATTGTTAATTAAGACAAAGTTAATCTGTTTAACAATAAAATTCACATTGCTTCTCATAAAATAACATAAAAAGCTTTGAATAAAACTAAATGCAACATAAGACTGTGTAAAAGCACATTAGAAAGAAATTGGTTCAAGAATTAATTGGTTTTAATAAAAGGCAGTGGCAAACAAACAGTCTTCAGTCTTAGTTTACCAGAACACAGAGTTACTCCTGGTCTATGTGAGTTTGTTCCAGACATGTGGAGCAAAAAGCCTGAAAGCTGCTGCTTCTATGTTTAGTTTTTATCTCTGAGGACAGAAAGCAGACCTGTACTGGGAGACCTGAGGGGTCAATACGCAGCAGACCAGACATGTAAAACATGCTGGCTTATAAACCGTTCTGTGCTTTATAAACCAGCAGCAGCAGTCTTTTCAAACAAATATTGAACACATGTGCTGAGAAGAAGTGTTAATTGATTTAATTCAGATAAGGCGATCAAAATATGTTTGTTTGACAGGAAAAAAAAAAAGAAAGACATAAACAGATTATATTCAGAGTTCTAAAATGAAATAAGAATATAGATGAAGAGTAAAGCGTCATCTCCGTCATGAGGGAGGCAGAGGGAGTGCGAGACATAAGAATAAAACTGCATTTCCTTTATCGTTTTTAGGTTTTCCACCAAAGAAAGAAGTATGTCGCAACAGGGGAAGTAGAAGCAGATGGTAAAAAAGGGGTACGGGACTCGTGAAAGTTCACGTCAGGTTAATGTGGCCGCAAAACAACAGTCTCTTTTCACAGAAAACGCGCTCACACTGACTGAAAAGCAGAGGCGCTTCATAAAATGCAAAGGTTCCAGTTTTCTATATGTGCAAATCTGTTTCTGTCAGAGGGCCACAACTTAAGATAAAGAAGTCAAGCTGGGCTTAGACGTACTTTATTTAGGTTTAGTTATAAGGTTGATAACTTGCTTTGTTACAGCAGATAAAACATTGACACAACCAGTAACAACATATAAAAATAGCTCAATAACAGACAGTAGTGCCAAAAAATAGAATTACCTTCAAGTAAAATACAGTTGACTATAATCTAAAAGAAATTTATATAAGCTGCATCGCTCCAAAAAGTAAGTGGGCCCTTGGTCATCGGTGTAACACAAAGTCAGTTACACTTCAGGGCTATATTAGTGTGCAGTCAGGAACATGAACCACTGAATCAGTTTATGCTTCCTAACTGAAGTTTAACCGTTGTTTTTGAGCAGTGTAAAATGGCTCAATAAAATATAATAAAAGCGTAAAATGGCTCAATAACACACAATAAAACAAAAATAAAGCGGAAATTCTAAAAATAGGATACTAAAGGTAGTAGAAGGAAAGGTATGAGGTTTAGTTTTACAGATAGAGTTGACTAAGCGTAATTTTTAAAAACAGAGTCTTGGGAATAAATTAATGTCAGTGCTGTCACAAAGCCAAAGCAAACGTGGTTTTATGTGTGTCTGTGTGCAGGGCGTGCAGAACTTTCAGAGCATGTTCACACCTATAGTTCGTTTACTCTGGTCTGAATCAGTCGATGACTTTGTAAACTTGTTGCTTTTCCTTGTGGTTTAGTTTGTTTTCACACAGAGAAAAATCCAAATGAACTCCAAGCGAACCGAAATGAGTCACGAACAAACCACATAAGAATATTCGGTCCGCTTATCGGCCAGATGTGTCTGGGGCGGGAACAACAAAAGTAAATACAGGAAGCAGGTGCCGTGTTCTGGACTATCAGGGAACACGGAGAATTTATGTTTGTTTCACAGCTAGCTGCCAGCCCGTACAGATCCTTGCACGTCTACCTTGCTGCATCTCTGGATACAAGACAAGCTTGCAATGTACCCATGGTAGTTGGTTCAGATCACGTTCACAGGATAAACAAACCGTTCTGAAGTTCGTGTGGAACCGTACCAAGACCCGAGGCGATCTCAGTACGGTTGTTTTGGTGTGCGATTGTTGTGTTCACATCTGCACAAACGAACCGCACCAAGAGGGAAAACAAACCAGTTTGATTTAAACTGATGAAACACGGCAGCTGTGAAAACAGCCTTAGACAAAAGATAAGAACCACTGATTCAAACAACCTCAAACTACACGTACTCGAGCAACAACTCGCTGGGTTTCAAGCTGATCGAAGGGCAAATAACAGACAGAACGACATACAGAGATTTCATAATTTACTGGTGGTGTTTTAAACCACTTCCTGGCTTCGGTTTCTTTTCAGATCTTAGGGCAGCTTCACAATCATGTTACCTATCAGCTCACAGGCTCTGATTAACTGTTCGGCTCTCTGCCCTCGTCCTTTCAGCTGCTCTGGGTGCTGCTGGGTGCCACCATCGTCGGCCTGCTGCTGCAGAGGCTGGCGGCTCGGCTAGGCGTGGTCACCGGGATGCACCTGGCTGAAGTCTGCAACCGCCAGTACCACACTGTGAGATACGTTTGCCGTTATTGTCCTATTTTCCGTTGTTGTTGTTGTTGCTGCTGCTTCTGCGCTCTCTCTTCTCATCACCGTTCTAAAACACGAGCAGGATGAAGTCTGACTGAGAGGCTGTGAGCAGAAGCAGTCTTAGTTTACTGAAACTGCCTCCTTGCATTACAAGCACTGCTGTTACAGTAGCTGTAATCCTTGGATTATGCGTCTCAAAACATTAAATCAAACCAGCGTGAGCCGGTGACACTTACAAAACAGTGACAGCATGAATTATTCATGTGGATATATTTTTAAATCCAGCTTATAAGAAATATTTGCATCTGTAAAACATGAAGAGAGAAAATAACTGTTACAAATGTGCCTCTGTTTGCTCTCTTTCTGTCCTCTCAGGCTACACTGCCCACTGTTGGAAACATTTTTTAAGCTTCAGTAGGGAAACGTATGCAGAGCTGCATGAATGAATTGACTTCTTATCTTTGAATCTGTTAACTTTTCTGAGTTTACAGGACTAGTGACACAGTTGAAAATGCAAATGCTTTGACTGCCGGCTTGGTTTATTAATTGATTTATCGAATGATGAAAAGCTGAAAAGAAGTCCCGGAAAATTAATTTGTGCCTATAAGTCAAAGGTAAATTAAGGCTGTGTCCTCAAGCAGGAATGCATGAACACCTTCTGCCATCGTAAATTCACTTTATATGTTCTTGAAAAGGTTTAAGGCGCAACCTGTCCCAGATGGGATGGGAGAAGAGCGGGCAGAGAAGGCTTCTGTCCTACATCAAAGTCCTTGAATTGTGGTGTGACTGTGTATGATTGTTGCACCTCCACGTCGACATGCCTTAAACCAATAATTCTCATTGTGCAGCTTCAGCTTTTCTGTCCTCTGTTCCTCACACCTCGCTCACATTTTTGCAGAGAAGAGCTTAGACATAAAACTAGGCCTTCATTTATCCACGTGAGCAGCGTGACGGCAATGACCAACTGAAGCAGCAGAGGGCGAAATGTCCTGACTTTTATTGTCAGGAGATTGCTGGATACTAATTCAATAAAAGTCCAGTAAATACGGCACCATTCATGCTGTTTAGTGCTTTACAGGTGATGGACAAGCTGATAAGACAGCTGAATTCCCGAACACTGTAAGAAGCAGTAGTTGTGCCACAGAGTAAAAATCTCCAACAATAAAAGGTTTCCTCACATGCCGGATGTGTTGCAAACTGAATTCTATGTCAGCTCAGACCTTTGTAAACACTGCCTGACTCTGATAGGTGCCTCGTATCATCCTGTGGGTGATGGTGGAGCTGGCGATCATCGGCTCAGACATGCAGGAGGTCATCGGCTGCGCCATCGCTTTCAAACTCCTCTCCTCTGGCAGGTGGTGTAAACAGACTAAGCATCAGTTTAACGGCCACTGGGACTCAGTCGCAGTTTGATGATTGCCATAAAATGAGTCGATTACTTCCTTGGCGATGATCTTTTCCGTTGTTTGTGTTTATCCACAGGATCCCCTTATGGGGGGGTGTCCTCATCACCATCACTGACACGTTTGTCTTCCTCTTCTTGGACAAGTACGGTAGGTTGGATTAATCACTTCCAAACTGTACGTCGGCATGTCAGCAATAAATGAAGCACGCCGCTTATTTTTTGTCTCTGCAGGTCTGAGAAAGCTGGAAGCCTTTTTTGGTTTCCTCATTACAATCATGGGGATCACATTTGGATATGAGGTATAAACACTTACACACGATTATCTGGAAATTAGTTGGGGGGGGGGGTCTCTCAATCAGCGGGTCACAACATGTCAGTGGGGGAAAGTAAGCAAAATATTTTTAATGCTACCTGGAAGTCCCTGGATCTGAAATGATGTCCAAATCTCAACCGGATATTTTTTTTAAGAATATCAAGACAATAGATCTCATTCAATAATATGTGTTCAGAAATGTTCTTACCCCTGTGCAATCACACTCATTCTCAACTTGTGCCCACTGTGTGAAATCTGCTTATTGCCACTCCTCCATTTCTCTGTGTAAATAAACACACTAACTTGAGATGAAACTGAGAAAGTTGAAGTTGAGTGACTTTAAATCTACCCTCACTTCTGATTACAAGTTCTGGGTAGTGACTGAGAGAATGAGATGGTACAAGTGGTGGAAATGAGCTTTCTCCAAAGGGTGGTGGAGAGAGGGAAATCAGTCAGACTGAGAGTAGAGCCACTGCTGCCAACATCGAAAGGAGCCAGCTGAGGTGTTCCACACGTCCTTCCAGTAGGAGGTAGGAGGAAAGGCTCAGGACATGCGAGAGCGATTATGTCTCTCAGCTGGCTGGGAATGCCTCACTGTTCCCCTGGATGAGCTGGAGGACGTCCAGGCTTCTCTAGAAGAGGAATTGATGGATGGACTTTCGGCTTCCATCGATTATTAAAACAAGAAAATAGAGATATTTATCAAAATGATCATGATTATGATTTTTTGGCATAATCAGTAAGTCATAGTGGGAAATATTGTTTTGGTCAAATGTCACAACATCCCTGACACCTCGACAAGATGACAGACTCCAGGAAATACAGAGAAAGGCAGTAATCCCGTAGACAAGACAGAGGAACGGAAAGACAGGGAAACACTGGGAATACTAGGAACAGAAGAATGTGGGAAACTCAACAAAAGAGGAACCAAAGTTATATAAATACAAAAAAAAAACCCACAACACATGAGCTTCAGGTTGTTAAGACTTCACTGAAAACCACAAATGTCACATTGAAATCTTTTGATCACAGTGTTAAGATTTTTCCTCTAAACATCACATGAATGTTTGTACCAAGCTTGAAATGTGCCACCCAACACTCACTCTGAACTCTGGTGGTGCAAAATCACCAAGTGTCTCTGGTCTCTTCAGGTTCGTCCTAATTTACGTCTTCTAAATGTTTTGCTTTTGAAATCACTCTTTGCTTCCTTTTCAGTATGTAACAGTGGGTCCAGACCAAGGCCAGCTGCTGAAGGGGATGTTTGTGCCGTACTGCGAGGGCTGCGGACCCGTCCAGCTGACTCAGGCCGTCGGCATCGTGGGCGCCGTCATCATGCCTCACAACATTTACCTCCACTCTGCTCTCGTCAAGGTCAGACAGTAATGAAATCCCTGCTTAATCAGCTGTGTGAAACCTGCATTGGCATCGTCAGTGAGTTTCTAAATCTTCTCTCTCAGTCTCGAGAAGTAGATCGGTCAAACAAAAAAGAGGTAAAAGAGGCCAACAAATACTTCTTCATCGAGTCGACCGTCGCACTGTTTGTCTCTTTCCTCATCAATGTGTTTGTGGTGGCCGTCTTTGCTGAGGCTTTCTATCAGCGCACAAATGAAGAGGTGGTAAGTATCTCTGCAGCTGCTTTATGATCTAATAAAAGTTCAGAGTCGAGATGGAAATTCAGCAGTCTGTTTTGCTTTCCTCCCTCCCCCCGTTTTCTTTTTTCAGTTCAATGTCTGTAATCAAACAGGCAGTCCGCATTTAGACCTGTTCCCTCTGAATAATGAAACTCTCAAGGTGGACATCTACAAAGGGGTAAGCTTTTATGTATGGGCTCAAAATGTGGTCATAAATATTTTGTACTTGTAAATCAGTTTTGTGTGTGTGGACCCCTGCAAGTTACAAGTACGAATTTTGACCCTATTTTTCTTCCTTTCATCTGATTGGTCAATGTCATGTCAATCACAAATGTAACAATCCAATCAGAGAACAGATGGGTTTGGCTGTTGGAGGGGCGCTTTTTTTTGAAACATGATAAGAAAAGTCTGTGACCATTTAAATGTATAACAAAACAAATATGTTTACAAATAAACAGGTAAAGATACTGTTGAATGCACGCCTCTCAGCATATTTGCTCATACCACATGTTTAAATTGAGTGCGATTATAAAGTAATAAGACTCAAACTACAGTGGTCCCTCGTTTATAGTGGTAGTTACGTTCTAAAAATAATCTGTGTGAAATCCGCGAAGTGGCTAACCTGATTTTTTTTTTTTTACAGTTATTATAGCTGTTTTAAGGCTGTAAAGCCCCTCACTACACACTTTATACACTTTTCTCCGACAGGCTCGAACATTTCCACACTTTTCTCTGGTTTAAACACTCTAAAAGTTCAAACCTTCGTAGAAAAATAAGTCCAGTATTATAGAACGAAACGAAAGTCACCGCGGTTGCCTTTGATGGTGCAAAACATTTCATCGAAATTTTTGTTTGTTGGAGAAAACTTACAAACATACAGTACCTCACTTCAGAGTCACATTGGTAGTGATCGAAGATTTAGGTAAATTTGACAGGGTGAACCAATGACTGTATAAAACATGGACGACGCGACAGCTCCCCAAGAATGAAGCCAAAACGTCTCTATCGCCCCCTGGTGTCTGGCTGCAGTATAGGTCATAAACCCCGCCTCCTCCATGTTAGCGGATAGGACCATTGACAGTCATTGAGGTGAATCAGAAATACTTTATTAATCCAGAAGGAAATGGTCTACAGCCAATCAGAATACAGAACACAATGTGCTGTTTAAAAAAAAAAAAAAACATGCAAAATTGCACAAAAAAGATCTACAAAACAGGGAGACCACGAAAGGTGAACCGCGTTATAGCGAAGGACCACTGTATACCAAAACTTGACCTAATTTAAACATTTTTAAGGTCATCTCCTTGTGCATGTCTGAAATGCTATTTTTTTTATGCTTCTTGCAATTCCCGTTGAGATCAGTGATGAACAACAGCTAAAATCGAAGTCTGTGCAAAGATGTGAATTGATGCAAATTCAGACCAGGTGACACATTTAGAGGCAAACACGTGTCTGCAAGCTTTGATCCACACAAAATGAGAACTTTGTTTTTTCCTTCAGAGCTGGCATCAATTAAAAAAGCTGCTGGAATGCACTTTAAGATTTTGGCCCATATTCACATGATGGTGTTACACAGTTGATGCAAATCGTCCATTTAACTACATCTATTCGATTGACATCTACCATCCGAATGTTGCAGAAAAAATAAAGAACACTTTTCTCCTATTGCCCAGTTTTGCTGAGCCTCTGTGTATTGGAGCCTGTTGCCTGCTCTTAGCAGACAGGAGTGGCACTGGTGTGGTCTTTTGCATTCAGAGATGCTCTTCTGCATGCTTTGGTTGGATTTTTCCCCCGAGAACAGCTGCTCCCTAGATATTTTTCTCTTTTTCAGGCCACTTTCTGTAAACACTAGACATGGTTGTTAATTATTTAAATCACAACATGTTTAGCAGCAAGTTCTCTTTACCGTTCCTGAATGTATTGATCTGCTAACATTTAATTAACTCATTAGAGCTTTGCCTTAATAAGCAGTTGAACTGGTGTATCTAATGAAGTGACCGTATGTAGTGGAATTACAAGAAAAGGAGTGAACGAACTTAAGGGAAAATATTTGTGGCTTTTTTCAGAAACTGTGTGGACACATTTGGTCTGAGCATACTTATACTTGCATATGCATGTGTGATTTCACCACAGAGCTTTAAATTGCACAAAGAGCTATCATCAGCTTCTGCGTCAAATTGACTCAGAGCGCTTGCTGGGGATCATCACTGATCTCCAGCTATGGCCCAGAAAACGAATAGAAAAGCTCGGGGTCATTTCTTATTTTTAAATTTAAAGGCTCATTCATGCATGTGTTGCTACATCAGATTATCTATCCAACCAATCACTCGTTTTATTTGCTGATTATCCAGCTAAGGTCGGTCCATCACATTCTATTGCCGTATATTACGGTATGTCGTTTTCCACACTGTTATGAAATATTCCTGTAATAAATCAAAGACACCCATCAGTACAGCTCATTGGGCTACACTGTAGGGAATAAAGGATTCCTACGCTGTAATTAAAAGCAGAAGTTATCCATGAATTCACAGAAATTGTTGTTTTTTTTTCACTATTTTAAAAAAAGTGGTGTGTTTGACGCCCCTGCTTGCGAACAGAACTCGGGGTGTTTGTAGCCTCCGTGTAGTTTATTCAGTAAAACTTAAAAGCACACAAACAAATTTGCAGCACATAATGACAGGATTGTGTTTTATATAATATTTCTGAGATCATCTGGATTCAAGCCCTGCAGGAAATGGTGACAATGACATTAACATGCATTTATTCTTAACTCCCTCTCTGGTTTTAGTGGCAGCAAAGTGGGCCTGCGCTGGTTTTGCAGAGCATGTTTTCTGTTTTTTATCCACTGTCATCTGTGTTTGCGTGTCTGTAACAGGGAGTGGTGCTCGGCTGTTTCTTTGGCCCAGCTGCTCTCTACATATGGGCCGTGGGGATCCTTGCAGCTGGTCAGAGCTCCACCATGACTGGAACATACTCCGGCCAGTTTGTCATGGAGGTCAGTGAGAAAGGAAGAACCAGATGTGAACAAAAACCACATGTAAAGCTCAAACAGTGGAAATGTCAGCACTAACTCTTTCCCTTTAACGCAGATATGTTCTCCCATTCTTTCTTTACTTGAGCCCTTTATTTGGCCTGTTCAAAAGCTCCTGCGTGTAATTTACTTATTTACTTATAATCACGTACAGCTGCAGTCGGTTTGCTTCACTAAATCTTTTGTAAACAAGCCCCGTTTTCTTGTAAATGTCACCGACTGATTTGTTCTTCTTCCCTCAGGGCTTCTTAAACTTGCGCTGGTCACGTTTCGCTCGGGTGTTGCTGACCCGCACGCTTGCCATCATGCCCACCCTGCTTGTGGCCATCTTCCAGGACGTGCAGCACCTGACGGGCATGAATGACTTCCTGAACGTGCTGCAGAGCATGCAGGTCAGACAGAGGTTAAAACCAGTTCAGCTTCATTCAACCATCCGCCAACAGCACCACTTTTCTTTTAGGCTTATTTATCTTTGTAGTGCTGTTCTTATTAAGTGCATTAAGGTCATTAACATAACTTAAATGCACAAGCAAGCAGGACTGGTTTTCAGGTTTTGGATCAAGTTCTAGGTTGGTAAAATCAAAACAGGCTGTACTCTTATCGTTAAATGATAAGATAAGACTGTCTAAGTGGCAATAAGAATGCCTTGTTGGAAAAAAGAAACAGGGTTGACCCAGTTGCTTCAGATGTAATCCTGTAGTATGAAAGAATTTATTGTCTGTAGTGAATAAAATGTTGCCAGACTGGGTCCAGTTGCTTCAGAAATATTGAATACACAGCACGAATGAGTTGCAAAGCATCTTTGTTACTTAATTTGTGTGTAATTAATTTTCCTGCATTCTTAATATACACTGATTCACAGTCCCCAAGGAAAGCAGGCAAACCTTAGGTCCAGGCATTCATGTGGATATTACTTTGATACATAATAACTACTTTATTTTCTTTAAAGGAACCCATTCTGTTCTATTTCAGCTCTGTATAATTATCCCCAGAGGCTACTACAGTAGCTTTAAGCAGCTTAAGCATCTCTCCCTTTAAGCTGACTTCTTCTGATTGGCTGCACCACACAAACAAAAGGTTTGAGCGGTAGATGGACGAGTTTCTGTATTCCTGAGATGACCATGTTAGGGATATTCGCTCCCAGATATTTTATACTGATCCAAGACAAAAAACCTGTCTGAAACAGTTTATGCCTAATTCTGTGGAGAATCTTTGTAGAGCCTAGGATGTAACTTATGTAAGAGCCCAGTGTCATTGCCCACATGTATGCTTCTCTAGTGTGGTGCATACGTGTTAATCACAGTGCCTGTCCCGAAAGTCCTTATATATTATATTGATGCTATGGTTATTATTCCTTATACTGAGGCGGTTATTGTTATTCTCTCGCTGATAAATTCAAAAACAGCAGTGAAAACGTTGCAGGTGTTAATCACCATTATAAGTCAGGTTTACTCATCGTGGTTTGTGCTGCTCAGTGTGTGAAAACAGTTAAATATGATCATTAATCTTTATTGCTTAAAAATAGCAATATATCATCTGGACGTTTTCAGTGGGAGAAACATTTTATCACTCCCACTGAAATTGCTCCATCCAGATGGATCGGCTTTCTGGGATTTCCTTACCTGGATGAGTGAGCGTGCATTAGGACAGATGCATGCTCAGATAAGCTAGGCAAGACAAAAATTACAGGGGAAAAATTCAGCTGTACCACTGTCTGCATAGTGGGATTGGTCATGTGTAGAACTACATCTTAAAACTGATAAATGAACATAAAAGAGCTTAAAGGCATTAAGCCTCTTCAATTGAAATCACTGTGCATCACTGCAGATTAATTTATACATGAGGTTTCTTGAAGGTGTTGACTGCAGCAGCTACAAACACTGCAGCTATGCATCATTGTAGTCTATCATTATAACAGCAGGTGTCCTGCAAACAGGTGTAAAGAAGCATTTTCACTCTTTCCATAACTAGGAAGGGAAAATGTTTGCTTGTGCGTACATCGTACGACATTGTGTGTAAATACCTTCATCATGTCTCATTTGATCTGTAATAACATGTCTACTAATATGTTTTTGGGGGAAGTTTTCATAACATGAGGAACAAAAACCTGAAGACTTCCTCAGGGTTTTTTCTCAGGGCGAGGTGTTAGCTAAAAACCAGAGTTACAGAGTGGTGTTGTGGATTGTAAAGGCAGTGGGCATGTAGGTTTTAATGGAAAAACACGAGCTGCATCTGGGAAATGTGGGATCAATCCTTTTTGGGGGACTTTAATTTACTCCTCAGTTTCCCTCAACTTTACAAGCACCTAGAATCAAACGAACACCACATCCCTTTGAAAAGATAAGTTTGGACACTTATTCCTTAGAGACATCAACACTGAACACATCAAAACCGTGCCATAGTTATTGATATGGAAATATTTGTTGGCTGTCAAACAAACTCAGCTGGGTTTTGGTCAGATTGCTGCAGAGGTCAGGTCACTCCATCACTCTATTTCTTGGTCAAGCAGCTCTTACGGTGCTGCTGGAAAAACAAATTATGGCCCCACTGAGCATGAACCACATGGGATGGCGTGTCGCTGTGGGATGTTGTGGTAGCCATGCTGTTCAAGTGTTGCCTTGAATTCTCAATAAATCACCAACCGTGTCTCATGCTTCACAGTGGGAACCACACATGCAGATACCATCCGTTCACCTTGACTGTGCCTCACAAAGACACAGAGCTCACATCTGGATTCATCCAGGTGTCTAATATTTGTTCCTCCAAGTTTTCTTCTTCTTCTTGGTCTTCTGAAGTCTTGGTTTCTTTGCAGCATTTCTATCATAAAGGAATCATCAGTGGTCTGATGTGAGCTGTAGTCTGAATTATTGATTTCCAGTGCTCAAACTTCCAAACTTAACAAGAGAATTTCTAGATTTTTTTAAGCATTGCTTAAAAAACTGTTGTTTTTTTTTAACCAAAAACATTTACAACCTCATGAAGCTGAATGTAATGATACTGTGTAAAGTTAAATAAATCCAGTTGAGCCATTTAAGACCACTAAAATCTTCAGTTTTGCTCTGCATTGCACAAAATAATGAAAAACCTTTTAAATAAGTAGGGTTTAAAATTTTTTTAACAGTAATACTTACTGTATGTAGTATTCGAATGTAGTAATACTACATTCAGTATGATTATTACAGCTTTAGTTAGTTATTTGCTGTTAACTAACAAATAGTTGATAACTAGTAATATCTCCAGAATTTATGTAAACCTTTCACCACCAGGGGGCAGCAGTTTAGCGGGAAATATTTTTTAGATGCCTCCTTCCGTTTGAAGTCACTCATATAAAGCCAGGGACACCTTGCTGTTCCTCCTGTGCATGCGAAGCGTTGTAGGAGAGTCACCCCCGTGTAAACCACACCTGCTTAAAACCACAAGTTCCTTTCCTAAAGCTAACATAACTGTCTCCTTGGAGCGGCCTCACTGTGTGGAGTTTACTTGCTTTCTCCAGGTATTACAGCGTCCTCACACAGTCCAAAGACATGCATGGGGTTGAGTTCATTGATATAATTCTAAATTTAGTTGTATATCTCTGTGTCAGCCCCTGCAGCAGAAATAAATAAATAAGAAGATCTTTGTAAAATCTCAAAATACACAATTATTTAAAAAGTACATCAAGATTACATTCATTTGCAGCACCATCTTGTGATACAGACTGGTATTACATCAAAGACCAGCTCTAATTCATCTTCAGTAGATATCACTTCAACACAATACATTTGAGATGTGTTTGTTTTTTCACATGCTCCAGTGTTTGGTGTATGGTAATGTGTAATGTGAAGCCTAAAATAACCAGGCCAAAGCCAATCAAGTAAATAACACGGTGCTATGTGAATGGACTGAGTGCAAAGACTGAGACTTAAATGCTGCCAGTTTCATTGATTAGCTCTGCCAACAAGGAGCCTGCCAGACAACACAGAGGGACAAACAAAGGAAAACATCTGCCAGTGAACTCCAACACTTCAAGTGCCCATAAAAACAGGAAAGCAGCTAAATAAGTATCAGAATAGTAAAATGTACCCTTTTTTCACTGATTTGAACTTCCTCATTTCATTACCTGAGTATTCTACCTAAACTTTACTACAAGTACAAGCAGACATAGAGGTAGCTAAAAAGAAAAAAAATTACAAAATCACTCCACATGTGTCAAAAGACTTCCCTCTGCACCTCCCAGTGGACGAAGAGGTTAACAGTTGGTGTGATCATTTAGTGTAACACATCATCTTCTTCTTCTTCTCTCCCAGCTGCCATTCGCCCTCATTCCCATCCTCACGTTTACCAGTTTGCCATCTCTCATGAACGAGTTTGCCAATGGACTGTAAGTAAATCAAATCAAACCTGCTTGTTTTTATTATAACCCTGTTCTTTAAACAAAGCAAAATACAAATCATATTATAAATGCGGATATATATATTTAAATATATATTTAAATGCAAAGTGATGACACTGAAAAATTATGGGTTTTTTGTTTGTTTGTTTTTTTTAAATAAAAGCTTCTTTTGAATTTGATACCAGCAACACCCTTAAATGGGAGCAACAAAAGACTGGAAAAAATGAGTAAAAAAACGTGATGCTTCATCTGAGAGCAAATGCAGTTAATTAGTAACATAAGTATAAAATTACACAGAGAGTACCCCAGAGAGGAGGACTTTAGAAGCAAAAATGAGAAGGGGTTCAACACTGTGAGAGATTACAAGGGCAATTTGTTTAATAATTTGGAAATAATTTTCTTCAACATCAAATTGAAAAGAAATAGAGGAATTCATCATCTCAGAGAAATCTCTGTATACAAGGCAAAAGTTTAAAAGAGCTGCGATGCTGCAGTTAAAATCTCTGCATGGGCTCAGGAACACTTGGGAAACCCTCAGTGGTGCATCCACAAATATAAAGTTAAATATCCACCATGCAGACAGATCTAAACGCCATCAAGAAACGCCTGTTCAGGGCTCATTTAAGAGGCACTGTGGCCAAGTGGAGAGCCTGACCATCCTATGTCAAAGTTGGTATCTGTGCATGGATAATTTGCATATCTTTAAAGGCACCATCAGTGCTTAATGATGTGCGTGGGTTTTGGAGCAACATAAGCTGCCCTGCAGACTTTAGCAAGTCTTTGCCGAACCATGTTCTGCACGGTTCCAGACATGCCAAGCACGAGGACATAACAAATATGACAAAGGAAGTGCTGAGCAGCTGAAATTTTATACCAGGCACGAATCTGAAAATATTTTGCTTTCAAATATAAAGCAGAAAGTCTCCTTAGTTTCCAAACTGAGATGAAACAAGAGTAAAACCTTACCATTGTCCCGACCTTTTTTTTTCCCCCCCTACTGGGGCATCGGTTTTTCAAAAATCCATAACATCTATTATTTTCATCAGCTGATGTGTTGTTTATGTGCCTTTTTAGCGCTAACACATCATCTGAACTTTTATTGGAGCGTGCCTCCCTTTAAACTTCACCCATTCTTATCTTTCTGCAGAGTATTTAAGATAGGAGGCGGAGTGGTGATCTTGATCGTGTGTGCCATCAACATGTACTTCGTCGTAGTCTACGTGAGCATGCTGGGCAGCGTGTGGCTGTACGTGCTGTCGGCTTTCCTGTCCATAGCATACCTGGTGTTTGTGGGATACTTGGTAGGTAACAGCTGGTTGTATGGGAGCTGTCCTTGGCAGGGTTTAACTTTGTTTTACTGAGTGAACATTAACTTCTTGGGCATTTAATAGTCAAAGCGTGTTTTCACAAATCTTCAGAGAATTATCTCTGAGCTCCCAACTTAGCCTAAAATTATTAAAAAGGAATTCCAGCTTCAGAGTGATTTTGGAGCAACTCTGAACAAAAAAGGGACCAAAACTTTTACGTCAGTGAGGAGGTGTGGCTCTGGGTTTAATGGACCTTTTACTTTTTACATGCCAGAGCCCATCGATGACACGCATATAAAGGCACAATGCAATTTCTGCAGTTAAGCATTGTTATTACAGTGGCATGTTTAAATTGAGTTCAATTGGTTAACTAACCAGCCAATCAAAATGTTGATCATCAGCGAGATACATGAGAATTGCTCTTTGGGTCCATCTTTCACTTTTTTCCATCAGCAACTGTACAAAATATAGGAAAAGAAACACTCAAAGGCAGCTACGATAACCTTTAATTAGTAATGTCCTCTTGTATAAATGAACACTATGAATCAATCACCACATCTTAACCCTGTAACACTGTGTCGTATTTTTAATTTTTGTGTCAATAAATTGCACAAAAATGCCAGATATTGTCCTCTTGCATACACGGTGGGGATAGCAGCACAGCACAGAACAGAGCAAGGTCAGTGACAACAGATTTGTGGTTGTTTAAGTCAGGAAAGTCATATCAAAGAATTGGAGTGGAGGTGTGTTGTAAAGTGATGTGCCGATACAGCCCAGAGCTACAGCATGACCAGGTGGATGCAAGGATTTCAGCTGACGAGATTTGGAGTTTGGGGCGGAAATACCACAAATTTACTGCTTCTAGCCTCGTGGCCGTCAGTGTTCGCTGTTTTTTTAACACAAAAAATGATTTTAAGATGTTAGTTATCATACTAAGCTTTTTAGACCATTAAAAAGTGATTGTCTGACTAAGTTGTCGGTGTGTATCGCTCTTGTATGTTTGGGTAATTTTGCTCCTTTTGCATTGCATTCTCTCATTTAAAGTTATGCAGCCACTTTGAGAAGTATTCAGGTCCCTTCACTTTATTAACACTTCTTTTGTTTCGAGTTTTAAAGCCTATAATAAACAAAATAAAAATATTTTATTTTTTTAAATGTTAGAAAGTCTCCGCTCCACTGAGCAGTACATAAACAGCACTGTTTAGCCAGGACTTTGCAGAAGCAGCTGCAGCTTTAAATCTTTTTGCGAGAGTGTCTGCAGGATTTGGACACCTGGATTTGGGCAGTTTTCTTTCCAGCAGATCCTCTTGAACTTTTCAAGGCTGGATGGGAAAGCATCTCTGGACTGCCGTCTTCATCTCCGCAGATGTTCTGTGAGGTTTAAATCTGGTCTTTGGCTAGTCCACTCAAGGACAGTCTTAGACATGTCCTGAAGGCTCTCCGGCGGGTCTGAATGCTTTCTCAAGTGATGCATAACTTGAACAAATTCATTCTGTAAAC